AAGTTGTCCTCTGCTTGTCCTGGATAAGATATCATGGGCACACTGATTATTTTATACATTACGTATTCGCAGTTAATTATGCACCGACACCTTGCGTGTGTCCAGGTCCATTCCTCCTGCAACTGGTGTCCTTTGACTGTTCAACAAGTTGCTCTCGAACTGCAGCAACGTTTTCAGGAGTTCGCACTGTGCGTCTCTTTCCTGAATGACCCTTATTCAAATTAAGGCTTGTCCCATGTTCTCGGTATTTGTGCACATTTTACCAGATGGCCGACTTTGCCTGTGGATCCCTATCAGGGAAGGCTTCCCTAAATGCAGCTTGGATGGCTGGAAGGCCCTTGTTTTCAAGAAATTTCGTCACGACAAACGCTTTTTGCTCTTTGGTAAGTTGCACCATGTTGCAGACTTGCTGTCCTGCTTCGAACACTTTTCAAAACTGCACTGGCCTACCTCAACACATTTAAACTAGATTATTGCATAACTTGAAAGTGACAAAAGGCAATCTTCCCTCATGAACATGACCTTTTGTTGTCACTTTCAACCAGGACAAGCATGACAGAGGACAACCTCCTTCACTGGTTTATCCAATGTCACAACTGAGTTTGGATGCCCCATTTTCAAGGCAATGGTGTTCAGTCATGAATGACAGGAGGGATACCATCAAGGTATTATTAGAAAGAATGCTGCTTCTACTTTTGGGAGATCCTTATACATTATAATCATATCTCATGGTTTGGGCATATTAACCCCTTTCCTCAGGGTTTGGTTTTTTCTAGGACACCCTGTAGAGTGCACATGGTCAAAACGTGAGTAATAACTGTATCTGGAAAAAGGATACACGCCGAAACTAAAAGACAGCTTTTCAACCTGGTACTTCCAGCAAGGCTGCAGATGAGACAGGAGTGGTCCCTTTGGCATATTTGTACAGCTGAATTGTGCCATCAGCAACAGGATCACACAAAAATTCGTCTGGCGAAATTCCCTGTTAAACCAAAATATTGGAAAAACAAACAAACAAACAAACACCAAATTTATTTTACAAAACACGTTTTAGGACATCTAAATATCAACCCCTTTTCACATAAAGCTTTTCTGTTGTATGTATCTTCTGTGATTTGTCTTCATTTATACGCATCTTCTTATTTATGAAAAGTCAAGCATTTTAAATATGAAGTAGCATGTTATTTTTAAAAGTGATACGTTCATGAAACGACCAGAATGACATTTTGTTTGTCATAATAGAACAAATGGTTGGAGTGAATACTGACTATTTAGACCGACTGTGCTCACTAGGGAGGCCTAGCAGATGCATGGTCCAACTTACTCTACAGGCTCTTGGTTTAATTAAATAGGAGGAAAAAATTCCATCCTTAGAACCGCATAGGGCCTAGAGAAAAGAAAATGAGCACATAAAGTGCCCAACAGGAAGCCTTACTTGGTCGACTCTTTCTGTTTGTGTAGCTTCGACTCGCCATTATTAACATTCTTCCCTTTTTATGAGTATTTTACAGTGGTCTTGATAATCAAATTAGTCTTTCATTGGTTCGGCTGGGGGATATAAGGAAGATGCAATGTGAATTTTGTTCATTCTAGTTTTGTTTAAGGCTTTAGCTGTTAGTTTCATTGGTTGGTGCAGTAAGTGTTTAACCTGATAAAGGCCACACGGCCAAAACGTTGTTAAATAAATAGCCGTTTTATGCCAGAAAAGTAAAAGGTTTGTTCTTCTTCAATTTGTTTCTTGTATTCTGCTCTATTACACCGGAGAAGAACATAGCATCCTTTGGATCCTTTTGCCTTGGAGATCGTCGTTTTTCGTTGACTGTTTACTTTTCTTCTTGAAAAGACCAGAAATGATATGAAGTTGAAATTTGTCGATCTTAAAATCTTAGACACCATATAATGCTGGTTAGGATCCCCTTCCTCTGAAGGCAAAAGTAATCATATTTTACACATGTACTGTTCCGATCCTGACAATATCCCCTTTCGGTTACTTCTGTTTGGTATGAAGACAACTTCTTATTCAACTGTTCATTCCGGGTTGTAGGACATCTTTCATCTAACATCTAGAAGAGATTCTTGACTCAATCCTGAACCTTAACAAAAATGTCTTAATCATGCTCCTTTGCTAAGGTCATAGTCGGCCGCCATCTTCCTCCTTCCCTCTTACTTTGATTGGGATTTACCTTCCGCCCAGTGTTTTCAAAATCCCTTACTAAGGACAAATT